AATTTTTAAAAAAGTCAATGAAAATCGTCTTAATCATCCATCATCTACAAAAAAATAATATTTATTTAGACATAAAGATTAACATTCAACAGAAAATAATCAGCAAAATAATATACATATATATATATTAAAAAAACAAAAAATAATAATAATGAGCAATTATTCACCTAATCCAGCCTCTAATGAAGCTTAAACTACTAATGAAATTCAAAGATCATCATCAACAATTGAATCCATTAAAAACGCCATTACATCCACTGAAACAATTACTAATGATGCCACTATTAGTAGTGCGGATTTAAATAAAGCATCCAACAACACAAAAGCACTCGATAATGCACCAACATCAACAGTGTATGAGCTAATAATTTATAAATTATTATTAAAAATGATTATCATAATTATCACTTGATTATAATTATAATTTCCTATTCATCCTTCCCTCCTCCTTCCTCATATATTATTTAGTGATAATACAAGTGCTGCTGAATCATCCGATTGTGTTGTAAAAACTGAAGAAATATGGACTAATAATAGTAGTTCAGCTTATCCTTTTGGTCCTTATCCTCCAAAACCAGCAAAAACTTATGAAGAACATGCATTGGATCCTGCTCTTTTCAATGATCCTTCAATGAAATTAGCTCGTACAGCTGCTGCTACCACAACCGCTGCTCCAGTTAACTATTATGGTCAACCTCCAATCGGTTTAGCTCAACATGAAACTGTTAATTATGCAATGGGCACTACACCACAAGAATATGCAACAATTGCTGCCTTGAGTGGTGGTGGTGGTGGTGCAGGTTATACTGTTACAAATGATATAGCTGTTATTTCAAATAATAATAATGGAGGCACACCAGATAAACCACAAACATTATCTCCAAGTGTATCCTCTCCTCAAGCTATGATGACTACTTTTAATTCAAAAACTATTTCATCGACTCCTAAAAGATATAAATGTGAAATTTGTCAAAAAAGATTTACAAGACCAAGTTCTTTACAAACTCATATGTACAGTCATACTGGTGAAAAACGTAAGTAATAATATATTGAATTAATGATTTATTGATTACCTTTTTTAATTAAT